TGGTAGAAGAATTGCATTAAGCAATGGGATAGAAATACATTTGGAGCAGATCTGTGCCTGAACTTAGAAATATAATGAATAGCCAGATATTTTTACTCACTGTTATGTAGGTTGAGAGAGATTGCTGTGCTGACTGTTCTCAACAATGCTCGCGTGATCAGAGGGGTGAGACGAGTGAGCTAAGCACCGAGGGTCTCCTCACTGGAGCTCTAGACAGTTGGTCTTTGCAAATACAAATCACAGTTGTGTGACAAGAGAGTGACTGGATTTAGGAGTAGAAAGGGTCATTTGTAAATATTCCTCTTTCTCACTGCAGAATATGAGAAAGCACAGTCTTCTCAAGATGCTGTTTCCTCTATGAACCTCTTCGACCTCGGGGGTCAGTATCTCCGAGTGGGTAAAGCTGTGACTCCGCCGATGCCTCTCCTGACACCCGCTACGCCAGGAGGATTACCCCCAGCCCGGCGGCGCCTGCCACAGCAAAGATCACCGCACAGGTAAGGCATAGGCCGGTGTGACTCAACCAAGTGGATGGTGGTTGTGACCCTGCTGGAAACAAGCATGCAAACTCTCCCAGCCAATGGCATCCACTCGTCTGAACGCAAGCCCTTGGCCTAGCTCCTACTCTGTTCCCAGGACTTCACATGCAGAAGCTTGCCCCTGACGCTTGTGAGGATCTGATACACCGGCATTTTGGAATGGAGTCTGGCACGGCTGATCAGAAATTAAAGAAACGGTGGGGAAAGACCGGAGGGGATTCTTTGTCTGGACAGGCAAATCAATGGTTAGGGAAATGGTTACAGTAGAGGCTAAAAGAATGCATGGAAGTACCTGAAAGGGGGCAGCCTAATGAGGGCAGGAATAGTCGCATGAGCAACAACTCTGCTGTTGAAAAGGCTCTGCCTGTGCCGTAAGGTGGAAGACAACTGTAGTAGCTTTAGGCTGTTCTGAAACAAGGAAATGCAGTGATGGAGCAGAATTGGATGTTGATGCAGGAGTCATGGTGTTCTCAGATTTAGTTTGCTTGAAGTAACAGAAGCTCCTGGCTATGACCAGTAGGCACTGATGGAGGAGGATTGTCTTTTGAAGCAAATCCCCGTATCCATGTCTGTCGTCCTTGCCTTGGGCAGTAGAATCTCCCCCTGTGTCGCCATAAACCATGAAAGAAAGGAGTTCCAGCACTGCTGGGTTCTTGAATTCTCACAAGCAAAAAAAATTGCAGAGGTGTGCAGCCTATATGTGCTGCTAATCAGCTGACAGTGACAGTAAATAAGTCAGTCTTGTAGAAGAAGTTAAAGAATTAAAGCTATTAGGAAAAGTTTCGTTAGCCATTTAAGTAAAAAGTGGGGACAGCTAATGACCAGTGTAGTCAAAAGTTACGATGGCCTTGTTACAATACCGAATGCTCACATAAGTATTTTCCCCTGCCTTAGAAGCATAAGGCAGACTGTCCAATGATGCACGTGGGATTGTCGCATCCTAGGTGGGTGTAAAGCTCAGTTTGTCATCTGCAGATTTACACTTAATAGTTTTGGGGGAGGTTTGTAGCAAGTCTGTCACGTCAGGGCTGTTGCTGGATGCCCGAAGAATAGCAAGCATGATACTCGCGTTTAAGGCAGCATGGAAGGCTGGTGTCTGCAGACTTTGTTCTCACCCCAATGGTGGGGAAGGATTGAAGACTAGCTTTAAAGGAAGGACAAAATTTTCAAAAGAAGGAGATGTGAAAATGTTTGGGTGTTCTAGGGAAATAGCCCTGCTAGATGAACATAACTTTCTTTGATAAGACTACTATTGTACTTCGTTAGGGAAAAAAAATTAAAGCGTATCCTATCAGCCGTTCAGGAGTTGATGGAGACCCCTGTGAGAAGCTGTTAGACAAGACCACCGCTATTACGATGAGTTTTGAATCATGGAATCGTTTAGGTTGGCAAAGGCCTTTAAGATCATCCAGTCCAACCATTACCCTTACCCTGCCATCCCACCACTAAACCCTGTCACTAGTGAGATGCGTAGCCGAGCGAGAAGAAGAGATGGAAACAAGCTGTGCTGAAATTGCTGACCCTTCCCTCTGGTGAAATGGCTTACAGATGGGTCTTGCTTCATCTCCAGTAAAAATCTGAGTGGCCTTATTCTAGGCATTAGGAGGAGAGTACTACTGGAATTAGTTGGCAACGCGGAGATGAGCTGCGTTATTAATGTAGAGGAGAATTGGAATATCGCAGCAGATTGGAGCAAGAGACATGTGCAGCATTTAGGATAGTACAAGATACCGCGTTTAAGGAAGAGTTTTTTGCTCCATGGTGTCAGAGCTCATAGGAATCCCATGAAAACAAAGAAGAGGAGGATCTGGGTAACTAAATCATGAGTATAATAGCCTGGGAAGCGACAACAACAAAGAAAGGGATCCTAGGGTATATTTTAGGCACATTAGTTTGGGTAGTTTTATGAAAGCATTTTATCATTTAACTGCGTTCATCTCAAACGTTTGAATTCTGGTCATCTAGAGTCAGGATGTTTGTTTGGATTATAGAAGGTATGGAGAAGTACTGCAGTTACTGGGAGAACTGGAAAACCTGACATACAGGAAGAAACTTGAACAGTTTGGCTTGGTATAACTGTAGGAAAATGCTGAAAGGCGCATCAGGTTTTTGCTCAAGTACAGTCTGTATGGAGGCAAGTGGGTGGCGGGATGGGCGAAGAGGTGCAGACGACACAGACCAAAGGAAGTGGTCATGAAATGTTTCAGTTATCATGGCTGGAAGTTTGGAAGAAGTTTCCAGCCATTGAAAGCAGTGAGGTTCAGTAGGGTCTTACCAGTAAAACTGGTGGTGGTGGCAGAAGTTAGTTACGTGGCTGTCTCATTGAGAAGTTGGCTAATGTGATAACTGTGTGCAGTTGCTATGATCACGAAGGCCCACTCCAGTGCTGTGTTGTGTCTGCACCTACAGGATAAAGACTGGAGAGAGATTTTTTGTGTAAACTGATCTAAAAGTGTGCAGCTTTTGAAAATAGCAGTGTTGTGCTCTCCCTTGCCCTGTCCCTGTGCTTGCAGTAGTGTTTTTGACTGCAGTCTTCCTTGAATCAGACAAGGATTAACCTTCTGCCATATCCCTTAGGAAGCAATGAAGCTGTAGGAGCTCCCTCGCCTGGTTTCTCACGTGGCCCCAGAGCCCCGGTGCTGTCCTCAGGGCGGGTGGGGTGGGCGCTCCCATCAGACTTTTTAAACGGATCACATTCCTTAGCGTCAGTAAAAAGCTTGATTTGTGTAGAAAGTGAAAACAAGCAGAGATTCCTCTTGCTCTGGAATTGCCTGCATCTTTCACACCATGTATTGACTCCCTTGGTTTCTTTCATTCGGCCGCTTGAGGGGATGGGTGAAATTTGAGTGGCAAAAAAGGTTTTTCTTCCAAGGCTTGGTGTCTCACAGCTGCTACATTTCTCTGGCGGGCTGGGTGGCATACTACTTTATTTTACAGTAGCGCTGGAGAGCTGTCCTCCTCAGAACCTATACACCTGGTATTTCTTAGGTGTGACAACAGCTGAGCCTCGGCTGAATGCACCCATAGTATGGCTTCCTGATGCGGAATTAACGCTTGGGGGTTTTCTCTTGGGGTGTTTTGTCTTGCAGGAAGCAGTGGCGGGAGCTGCGGTTCTCGGCACTTTGGCAACCCCTGGGCTGGTATCTCCGGCGCTGACTCTGGCCCAGCCGTTAGGGGCGTTGCCGCAGGCTGTCATGGCAGCACAGGCGCCCGGAGTCATTACAGGTGTGTTTACTCTTCTCTTTGTCACTTGTGTGCCTGTCACAAAGCAAGGGTCTCTATTGCTGGGGTCACAACGAAGGAGAATTGAAACTGAAATCCTTCTCCTTGCCCTGCTTTGTCAAGAACTTTTATTTTCTTTTGATTTGTGCAGCATAGCAGGAATTTATTTTGGTATAGAATAGATATGACAGGGGCATGAACTTCACAGCAGGAA